ATATATATATATATGGTAACTAAAGATGATGGACGATTGAGAGTTGAAAGTGAGTTGAAATGTATGTTGTGTGTTGGTAGTGTACTTGTGTTGAATATGCTTTAAGCATGATATTGTTGTGTTGCTGAGATGATGAATGCTAAAAATGCTTTGCATTTAGGCATGATGTTGAAAATTGTGTTGGTCAACTTAGGAATAGAGAAAAGATTGTTTTAAAGGTTGCATATGCGGTGCTCCAAGAGCCCAATTTGTTGAAAGCCCTTCTTGGAAAGTTAACACTTGAAAAAGATAGTTGAGTTTCCTCTAGAACCTTAATTAATATTGTATGTGAGTAAGTTGAGGCATATATGTATAAAACGACCACAATATAGGGGCAAGGTCAAGCTACTAATTAAAAGTGACAAATTTAGTAAATTATGAAGTTGGGAACTTAGTTCCTAATTGATTATTAGAAAGATGTAGTATTTAGAGGGTAGTTAATGGACTTATTCCATAAGAGGCTTAGTTAAGCTAGGCACCAATGTCGTGGTAGACTGATCATACAAACTTTTCTACCTTAATAAAAATACTAGACTTCCTTGTTAAAGTGGGGACACCGAGAAACTAAGTTGTTGTGTTGTAGATTGATATCCAATTTGTTGTTGATCTAGCAAGCCCAAAAAAATTACCCTATGTTGTTGGTTCAATAGGGTCAAACCACTTAAACTGCTCACCCTCTATTGTAAGAGATCTCTCAACTAAATATGAAGATGCATATAGTTGCTATGTTGTATATATTCTGTTGTTGTGTTGAAAATTCTGAGTTGTTGACGTAGTGATGTTCAAGTTGATCTTCTGTTGTAGTAGATTGAGTTGTTCATGTTAAAAGTGTTAGTTATGTTGTAATGTTATATGTCAAAAGTGTTGTAAAATGTTGATGCTATAAAATATGAGATGTGTCATTATACCTTGTTGCTAAGAGATTTTGTTGTATATGTTGTTTCTTTAAACTCTAGCTTATCCTTATGTGTTTACATGTGGATGAACTAGGATGATCATACTTGGAATGGGAGGAAAGTAGGGGTAGGTTTCTATTCGAGCTGTTTTGAAGGCTACATTGAGATTGGAGATGTTGTTATTTTTACTACCTTTGAGTAACTAGTTAATAGTAGAAGTTGTTTGACCGACAACTTAGGTTATATATATAGTTTACTTTTATTAGATTATTGTATTTGTATCATATATGTTTATATAGTTATTTCACTTTCACATGAATGATATATAGTACATCTTCAGACAACAATATACACATAACTCTAACTTATTAGTCATCTTTCGCAGTTAATCATTAAGTCATTTAGTATAAGAATCAAGATAAATGTTATAGACATCATAATTTGGACTTAAAATCATATGTATACTAATTTAACTCATCACCACTAGATTAACCCTCATATATTCTATTTTAATTATAAAGCACACTCTATGAATAGGTCGTATATCAAGTTGAACTATTTCAAATCTTTTTTAAAAGCTAAAAAAAACTTAATTAGGCTTTCCATCATCTATGTTTCATGATTTCATGAATTTTGTTAACCAATTTATGAAATTGTTCATTTTGTTATCCGAATATTTAAAGTTTCACATATATTATCATCATGTTAGTTAAGTGTTAAACGACGTCAAATTTAAACATTAAATTTAGTTTTGCATAAATTATTTCATATGTTATTTTGTAGTAATAAAATAATAATGTTTTGATATTTTAGGATTAAAAGTAAAAAAAAAATTAAAGACAAAAAAAATATATACCTCAAATTTAGAAGAGTAAAAATATAATTCAACCGTTATAAAATATCAAACATTGATGGCAAAAGTGCGATTAAACAAAAAAAAATACATTTATATAATTTTCTATTAATTATATTAGTGGGTCATCGTAATGTAAATGATAACAAAATGCACGTGTTTATATAATTAAACATATACAAATATACCGCATAATATCCTACTTCCTTTAGGAAATAAGAAAATTAAAGGAACTCTCAATATATAATTAGTAAAACTATAACTATTATTAAAAATATATATATTTTAGTTACCGATATTTAATAAATAATACAAAATTTAGATATTAAGGACCAAATTGTTCATGAGAGAAAAAATTGAAGGACTAAAAGAATAAATGGACAAAAATTTAAGGAGTAAAATTAGTAAAAATTTTATCCAAAGAATAAAAATAAAAATTTAATGACTAAAATTATATTCAATTTAGTGTAAAAAAAATTTAATCATTAAACAAAATAATTCGTCATAAGATTAAGATATATCTATAACATAGTGTGGACACAAAAGCAAATCATTTATATTCTAATAAATTATATTTTAGTTTTTTTTAAGATTTAATTTAATTACATCATTTTTTTAATGATTTAATTTGACCATCTATTTTTTAAAAAAAGAATAAATATTATCCTTTCATCTAAATTAAGACAATATTAAATATTATTTAAAAATTAAATTTAAAATTTATTTTATTTAATTATTAGATAAATTAATCTTACATCACACATTTATTATAAGTCTTTCAATTATTAGATATAATCACACAAATTAAACAATAATCGAAAATATTCTAATTGATTTATTGAAAGACTTATAATAATGGGTGATATGACATTAATTTATTTTTAAAACTTTATAATTATATTTAATATTTTTGATAATATTTATTTACTTATATTTATTTAAATGATACTATAAATTAAAAATTAATACATTATTACAATATTATTTTTAGAAATTATTATTATAGATAAAATAGTATTTTTTTGTCTCAATGTCGTTCTTTATAAATTCTCTTTCAAAATTTAATCTTGTATTAAATAAAAAAAATATACATAAAAAAATATACTTTTTCATCTTTAATTGTGTTTCAAAATTGAAGTTTCCCATAAAGTAAAAGAATGATATATGAAAAATATATAGAACTATAGAATGAGACTTAAGGTAAGTAAACATTGATATATGATTTAAATTTGATAATAACTAACTTAAGATATCTTCTTTTTTTTAAAAAAATCTTAAGATATCTTAAATTTTAGAGGATTTGTAGAAAAAAATCATAAATATAAATAATAGTATAATTTAATTGTCATTTTATAAAATTTATAAAAATTTGATAACATTATTAAAATATTACAAAATACCACTTTGGTGACCTTTAAAAAATATTGTTATTAATATGTAAAATATTGTTAATTTTTTTTTAACAACATAGACTTTATCTTACATTTAATAAAATATTACAAAATTATATTAATAACATTTATTCATAATTTAATAATATTTTTCTAATGTTCCTAAAAAACACATTTTATTATAGGAAATATTATGTTACGAATGCAATGTATTTACCAACAATAGTTGCCACTAATTAATCTTCACTTAAAAAAATATAATTGACTACATTTAATAGTATTTTTTTTCTTACCTAACCACATTTTTTTTTTGAAAAAGCTGAAACTCTACGTACTAAGAACATATTGGTGAAATTATTTAAATTATAATCATAAATCACTATAAGAAAACTGACTTATATTAATGGTTATAAGTTGTTATTAAAAATAAAAAATTGATACGTAAATATTTATTTTATATTAATTAATCTCACAAATAATTTATCTGTCTATCATGTGAATTATATAGTAACAATTTTGTAAACTTTACCTATATCAAACAATTATAAAAATAACTGTTTGAATTTTACCTACATTAAATATTTATACATAGAAATAATTTTTAATTTTATCTACACTCATCATATCATCTCTGTAAAATAAAAAAAACACGTGTAAGTAAAAATACAAGAGTTAGAATTGTAAATCACCTAAAATCAAAACAAAAAATTATATTCATAAAACAATTCCCTAATCAATTTTTTTTTTTCAAAATATCATAATTGTCAAATTAATTTTAAACATGTTTTTCTCTGTGTGCAGTTCATTATATTAATTATTTTTATTATTAATAATCTATTTGTTTTAGAACAAACTTTTTATCGTTGTATTTTTTCTACCTTTAACACTTACCAGTACCTAACAATTAACAAAGAAAACTAAAATTATTTATTTATAATTTAGAATCATGAAAATTGAAAAGTATTATTAATGAGAAGTCTTATGTTATTTGTTTGCTCCAGGGTTTGTTTAGACGAAGGGAAAATTATACCTATTCCTTGAACAGTAAACATTAAACCAGTAAATACCATCCAATGATTCTAAATCCCATCTCCAAACACAATTCAGGTGAATTCTCTCAGTACGTAGTTCAGTTTTTATAGTCTACCAATTACATTTTCCCTCAGAACAACAGAATATATAATAAAATAGCATGATATATAATTATATATAGATTCATAAAAACACGAATACTTACCTCTTATTTTTGTGACTTTGGACCCAAAGATGAAATAAAAACCAGCAAAGCTTCTTCGATATCACGTTTATTCTGAATTCAGAAAGAAAGAATGTAGAAAATCAATCAAAACCTTTCTGTATCACAAATTTAGTAAATATAGAATATATAGATAAAACCTTATCAATATATAATAAAATAGTCTCTTTTAACTTATATGTTCGGCGCCGGCAATAAGACACCAACATTCCAAAGGACCGTAACAAATCTTCCGATGGAAACAATTTTGCATACTAATATATTCATCTAGCAAAAGTGATAGATTGAATTATATATATATATATATATA